TGCTGCAACTGGGCTTCAGGAAGGTTTTCTGAGTGGAAAATCCATTTGACTTCATGGAGAATAAGTCTCTGGAAGGGAAGACAAACTTCGCTGAGAAAAGAGTCAGAGAGTATCAGAGGATGGGAGTTACGTCCAGTCTCATGGAGAATTCTTTTACTTTGGATGCTGGCTTTTCAATGAACTGGAGATGTGCTCTTATTTTGCTGAGTATTTTTCCCTTTGTCATTAAAAAAATCAGCTAAAGTAAATGAACCAGCTACACCATGCATTATCCACAATGTTCACTGATGGCACCTGTAAAACTGTATTACTACCTCAGGCAGTCCTGTTTACTAACAGTGCTCACAGCGTCACCTAGAGAAGGACACTGAAGCCCAGCCCCCTGGATTCTTTGGAAGATGGGGTCCTGCTTTGCTAGCAGCTGGTGGCTGTGAGGCCTCTGTAGTGCTAAAGCGAGGGGACACTGGCAGCTCACAGCAGGATTAAACATGTTCCAGTGCAAATGAGGCTGGGGGAATAAACTTCAGCATGCAGGCTGAAGTTTACTGAACTGGTGGTAAATCAGATGGGTACTTTACACACAAATCAGAAACTGTACTGTCAAGGGGAAAGCCTGATAGAAGTGCAAAAGTGTTGTGTTTCCTATGAATGGTAGCTAAAGTGAAATTTACTGACTAAAAGAGGATTATTGCTGTTGACTGAACATGTAATTTGGAAGCTTTTTAATGAATTGGAATACTCTTTACTTTTGAAGTCAGTTCTGTGCAAATCTATACCAAGTGTGCCCAGAGGAGACGGGGTGTGATTTCTCCCGAAATAGGCACTTCTAAAAGTGTTACTTATTCTGATTTAGTTTGTGAGTAGGTAATGTTGAGATCTGATCTATTTATAGTTTATCCATGTGTCTTCAAGTAGAATTTTTTTTTACTATATGTCCTTTTCACATATTACCTATGCCATACTTTGTAAAAAGTCACCCAGTATTACCTTAATGAGACAAATATCTTAAGGAGACCGATCTTAACCAGACATTGCTCACTGCAGTGCTACAATTTTCCTAACTATATGTTGCCCGGCCGTTTCTGAACTGAGTAGAAAACTAGTGGTCCATGAGCTGTTCATATCTGCTCCATCAGGTATTAATTTTAGATGGAGCTGTAAACTAACAGACACAGCTCACAGTGAGTTTCAGTCTGCCTTTCTATGGGGAAAAGCCAAGCTGTTCATGGGAAGGGGTGGGAGATTGACTTGACTCGTGACCCCCAAGTTCACTGCTCATGTTCCCTGTTGGTTGTTGGAGCCCTGGCCAGATTTCATTTATTGTATTTGAACTCCTATAATACAAGACCTGTTTTCTGTTTCTATCTTTTAAGTTATTGTTACATAAAGCAAATAAATCCAAGTTATATGATCTCAAAAAATACTAAAAATAAAATAAAACTGTGTAATAATAAGGTGGATAAGTCCACATAATAATATATATATTTTATACAAATTGACTTAAAGCTTATGGATGGATTAAGGCCATATAGGTAGACCATGAAGACAGCCACTCCTGGTCTGAAAGTGTCACATTGTTTACTCAGAATTTAGTTTGATTTTTAAGCAGAATTTAGTGGCTCCCAGACTCAGAGCTGTGAAAGGCTGTATGGAGCGTGGGGGAGCTATTTCAGTTTTATGTTGGCCGAAGCAGTTAAATACCAGCAAAATTTCAAAGGGAGGACAAACAAGAAGTGTTTCTCTAAGGAAGATGCATCCAAAAGCACAGCCATCTTTAATGGACCCAGATTATTATCAGCCCATCATGGAGTTCTGAGCTTCTCCTTTCAGTTTCTTTTATTTTTAGGTTTTAAACTTATAAATACATAAGTGAGTGTGTGATCTCTTTCCTTTCTTTCTCGCTTTCTTTCTTCTCTCCCCTCCCCCACTCTCTCCTCCTTCTTTTTAATGTTTCTATTTCTTGCTCTGCAGAGACCCGACATGGATAGTGAATAAGGGAATGAGGAGCAGCACACAGAGAGAGTCAGAGTGGCAGACTCTTCAGTCAGGCCACTGTGGGAGTGGGGCCACTCTGGTCCTCCTGAGGTCACTCACTTACACTGGGGGTCGCAGTGGGAGCCAAGAGGTAAGCAGCAGGCAGAACTTCTCACTGTCGGGAAGATACTTGCAGAATATGGACGTCAGATTGTCATGAATTTTCAATTATTTGGAGGACAATTGTAAATAAAGTCAAATAAAATCGTTTCTAGAAACTAATGTGAAACTCTATATGTTTCAGAAAAGTCGTTATTCACACATAATTTTTAAATGAATCATCCTGACATATATGAATTCTGCTAACAGAATAAATTCCAAAGTGCAATGAATTTCTACTCTTTGTTCACTACTTTCCAGTATTAAAGATCTAACAGAGTAACAATGAATACTCAGGAATGAAGAACCATTCCAAAATAAAAATTCAAAAACAGTAAACACCAGTATTATTCCTAAAGACTTAGAAGTGCTAGAGAACTTCTCATAGAAAAAAATTAAGCATAATTAAAAATAATTTCTCATTAATTTCTACTGAATGTAGAGAATGTGGCACAGTCATAAAATTAGTGCACTGCAGAAGGGTGACAACTGATTGGGGATGGGAATGTGACAAGATTGTGTAAGCACTGTGGTATTTGAAGAGCATGAAGAAATGAGTGTGCATAACAGCATTAATCCTAGGAGCCAAAAAGTAGAAACAATCTAAAAGCCCTTTTACCAATGAACAGATAAACATGATGTAATGTGTCCATGGAATAACATATTATTTATTCATCCAAGAGAAGTAAATGCTAAAAAATGGGTATATATGTAAATCATGGTAAATGAAAACATAACACAAAAAGCAAATACAGGAGGTCTCTGTTAATATTTAACTCTAGAATATATGAAGACCTGGATTCAGATAGCAGCTTAGAATTAGCTAAGGACAGTGGGAAACGGAGAGGGTGGACTCACTCCTACTCTGATGTCCTTGTAGTTGAGCTGATGAAAAGTGTTCTACAAGTAGACAATTGTGGTCATTCTCCAGCCTTGTGACCACACTGCACACCAAAGAAGTGTTCAGTATGAATTTTCTACTTCCTATATTATATCTCAATACAAATATCATCAAAAGGTAGTAATAGTTTAGTAATTTGAAAAAAATGAATGTTTGAACACTTGTAAAACAAATGAAAAGGGGAACAGTTTGGTAAGGATTCTTTGGGAGGCTGTATAATTACATTCTGCTCCAGGTAGATGAGCATGAGACAGATAACATTTTAAATTAGAAAACTTGTATGCATTGCATGTATTATACGGTATACAATCAATTTGTAGCTTCATTCTGACCTACGTGAGTTGGGAACTATATTCAAGACGCAAGCTCCCCCTGTGTTCCAGTGGTTCTTGTAGTCACAGGGGAAAATACAGATCCAGAAATACAATTAATTACATGTTTGCCCAATGTGGATCCCTGAAAGAACTAGCTTCAGGGAGTTAAGTCCCAAAAGGTTCCTGTTAGAATAAAATGCTATCTGACTAATGTTCAGTTACCAAAGTATCATTCATCTCAGGTAAGTTCTGAGTTTCAAAATTTAAAAAAATAATGTAAAAACCCGAAATGAACAAACCTAACTGATGGGGGAAAAGTTAATGATTTTATACTAGATTGCTTAGCAGAACATACTGTGAAACCTAATTTTCAAAGCTTGTAATTTCTCCTCAGAAAAAAGGCTCTTACTGAATTTATGACATCTCATTTCCCTTATTTTTCGTTAATCTGGGTTCATAGAAAGATTTTCTTCATTTTACCATTGTGTAAGTATTTACATAAATTTCAGAATTTTCTAGTTTAATTAATATATAATTGAAATATCCCATTACAAATAAGTATCACAGTATAAATAATGATATGGGCACATTTAAGTCCATGTATACCATAAAATAGTTACCTTATCAAAAAAATCAAACATAAATCTCACCAGTATTCACCCCATACATTCCACTTCTCATATTTCAATGAAGAATCATGCACATGTGAAAATACATCACCTATTCATGAAGGTTCCTACACTCCATGGTAAAGAACATATCTCTAAACTTACAATTGCACTTCATCTTGTTTTCAACTTTTTATAAATACAATTTGCTATATACAATAAATATATTCATAAATTATGATATAATAAAAGTGTAAGGATTAAAATATGTTCTCCCACTTACATTTTAGCATTTCTTTTTTTTTTTCGGTACTGGTGATCAAGCTCGGGACCTTGCACTTGTCAGGCAGTCTATGGAACCACTGAGCTAAATCCCTGGCCCTAGAATATCTTTTAGGGTGACCAGAAGACTAGTCTTTTAGCTGGAAAATTCTTCTACAGTAAGTAGTAACCTCTGTGACGAATCATAACAATTTTTAAGGAAAACATCAATAATTATTTTGGGTCTCATCAAATACTAAAGAGCTGGAAGAGTAGAATAACAATACTTGTCTTTATTTGTCAGTAGTGCTATTTTTTTACAATTAATAAATGGTCTTTTAAAACCTGAATAAATTTTGAAGAAGATAAATTTTTAATGTTGTTCTATATAGGCGATTACTTCTAAGAAACATAGCAAGCACTAAACAGTATTTCTCATGATGTAATTTCACTAAAATTGTGCTTCATTCATATCATTTGAAAGATTTACTGAGATTTTAATCATCAATTATATATTAGCTGAAATAAGGACAGTAAAAAGACCAGAGGAATTAGAGAAGACATAAAGAGACACATATGTTATGATATATTTTTAGACCTCACTCACAATTTCTCAACCACTACTTTGGATTGATGATTTTACTGTTCTCAAAAGCATCCAATATTTGTGAACTTTAAAAAAAAACTAGAGAAACAAAATGTGTTCTGCTTTACAGATATTTTGCGATATACAGAAGAATTAAAATGGACCTCTAATATTTTTAAGTTTAGACAAGAGACAAAATGGACAGGGGAAATTGCTCTGCCTTGAATGAATTCATTTTCCTGGGAATTACTGGTAACAGAGATATCAAAGTGAGCCTTTTCTCTGTGTTTCTTCTGGTTTATCTCTTTGGTCTCCTGGAAAACCTTGGCATGATGACTGTAATAATGGCGGATCCCCATCTGCACACACCCATGTACTTCTTCCTCAGCCACCTCGCTCTCTGTGATCTCTGCTACTCCACAGCAATTGGGCCCAAGATGCTGGTGGACTTGGTGGCCCAGAGCAGGACCATCTCTTTCTTGGGCTGTGCTCTGCAGTTTCTGACCTTCTGTATCTTTGCAGACTCTGAGTGTCTGCTGCTGGCAGTGATGGCCTTCGACCGGTACAAGGCCATCAGCAGCCCCCTGCAGTACACAGCCCACATGTCCAGCAGGCTGTGCTCCCTGCTGGTGGTGGGGGTTTACCTGGTGGGCCTGGCAGATGCTCTGATACACACTACGCTGGCATTCCGCCTGTGTTTCTGTGGGTCCAATGAGATCAATCATTTCTTCTGTGATTTGCCTCCACTTTTTCTCCTTTCCTGTTCTGACATAGAAGTCAATGAGCTGGCTTTATTCACTGTTTTTGGATTCATTGAACTGGGTACCATCTCGGGAGTCCTTGTCTCTTATTGCTATATTATCCTATCAGTCATAAAGATCCGCTCTGCTGAAGGAAGGTTCAAAGCTTTCTCCACCTGTGCCTCCCACCTCACTGCAGTTGCCATTTTCCAGGGAACCATGCTCTTCATGTACTTCCGTCCCAGTTCTTCCTACTCCCTGGATCAGGACAAAATGACCTCACTGTTTTACACTCTTGTGATTCCCATGCTGAACCC